TTCTTTGCGTGAACATTTGGGCGGCGTTATGCAAATCTTCGCACATAGGGAGGTAGACATGTGGGGCGTGTTGGAAAGAGCCGTTTTAGGTAGGCGTGACAAGTTTTAACTTTGATAAAGAATATCTCTTTGGATTTGAGACTTTAGGGATCTTATCTATTCATGAACAGCTTGTAACACTCCAAAGAGAAAGGAAAACTTGAAATTGCATCATATGACCCCTTTAATTGCTGTTCAATGGGTGGAAAAGGTAGGGCAGGAAAAGGTTTTGATATGCTCTGATTCTTTATCAGTCTTGGCAAGTTTAAGGTCACTTCATTCAAAAGCTCGGCAAGATATTCTGTATGAAGTGCTTCAATTAAACAAGAATAATTCATAAGGGATGTCAGATCAAATTTATGTGGGTCCCAGCACATGTTGGAATTACGGGTAATGAGATGGCAGATAGGCTGGCTAAAAGGGCACTAACAAAAGAGAATGTAGAAATGCAGGTAAATTTAAGTAAAGCAGAGGTTAAATGCATAATTTGGGAGAAAATCAATAAAAGGTGGCAAGAGAGGTGGGACAGAGAGAAGAAAGGGAGGCACTTATACCAAATTCAAAGAAATGTTAAAGAGGATAGGGTGGTAATTGGAAATAGGAGAGAAGATGCGGTGATGACTAGGTTAAGGTTGGGACACTGTTCACTGAATAAAACACTAAAGATGATAGGGAAGCACCAGACAAGGTTGTGTGAGGGATGTCGAGAAGATAATAATCATGACTTGTATGAGATTTGAAACACAGAGGCAGGTAATGAAGAATAAGCTGAGGCGAGATTGGGGTGCAGGAGATAACATTAAAAGGGTTACTAAGCACAGTAAATAGGACACAGAGTGGAATATTGATTACATTCTTAAAGTCACCATGAAATCAAAATGGAAAATTCTTATTTTTTAATGGAATACTGTAGTGTTTATTATAAATAATTTATCCGTGCACTTTTTTTTTTAATTCATGTGCCCTCATAATCTTTAATCAAAAACGTTAACCTCCCCTCCCCCTCAAAACGACTCCTCTTCTCTTCCGGTCACGAGCTATGGCGTAAGGCCGGAGCTAGTGACGTGAGGGGTAAACGCTGGGATAAACGACGGGGGAAAAGCTGAAGCTAGCTGATGCTTCACTGTATAGCACTGACACCAGTCATGAGGGAGTACGTTACCCCTAAACATTGAAAAGATATTAGGATATTACGACAACATTACTCTTAGGACACCGCAAATTTTTTTTTCATGAATATGACTTAACCTGATGGAGGACGCGCTCAGTCATTCAGGCAGTCTCTCTCTCTCTCTCTCTGTTTAGGCATGTTTTGTGCTGTTGAACGTCGTCGTAGATGTGTAAATAGAGGTCTACACAACAAAGACCAACAAATGAAGATCATATGAACTGAAAGTTTACAGACATTTTTAAGCATTTCAATTTACATTAAATAATCTCATGTTAATCATTAGGTAATGTTTAGTAAATTCATTAGTAAACATTAACAAGAACATTATCTCATATTTCTAGCTATCTGAATATATATTAACTAATGATCCGTTAAGCATTATATAATGTTTGTTAATGATTTATAAATGAAAGTTATTATAAAGTGTTACCGAATTGACTGTTAAAAGGACAGAATGAATAATTTTGCAAATGTACCTATTGGGGGTGGTGTTGAGGGATATCGTAGTTGTTACTTTTGTGCTTATTTTTACAGTATACTGAACACTAAATGCATAACAGTGTTAACCTTCTCATGAAGCATTTAACCAGACCAGACTGCAATATCTCCATAGTGGGGATGCTGTTGGAAAGAGTTGTCATGGAAACAGCGTTGGATAGGATCACAGCATTATTTAGCGTGATGACAGCTCTTCAACAAATATTTGTTTAGAGGTTACAGTGAGAGTGTTTTGGAGGACAAATGCATATCTCATTATCCTAGAATGGTCTGATGTTACTTAGAACTCACAGACACTTAAACATCCACTCAGGGTTTGTATCATCAGAAATAAGAACTCGAATATGGTTTTAAATTGTTCAGAAAATCAGGTCATCATGACTGTTGCATATATCGAGATGTACAGCTGGCTGTCACTTTCATCTTCTGTGCTGTGATTATATCAGATTTACAAGTAAATTAATGTTAATTAGCAATGTAATGTAAAATTCTAGCTCTCTTCCAGCATCTACCAACAGGGGCTAATAGGGCAAACCAGCCAAACCCTGAGTCCCTTATGTCTCTATCATCTTCTGTTTCTCACACGTCACATCTGTGCTGTCTGATGTCCAGTCAATAAATATTTTATTTAATGTCTCCTTAATGGCCCATCAAATAAATTCATGAAGACTGGCTAGTTTTTACAAGGTTAGGTTAAACTTAAACTCTGACAAATTTACAAAATATTTATGTAATTGCAGCTGTAACTTGTAAAGAAAAAGGGATTGCAAACTAAACTCTAAATATAGATAGATACAGGTTATATAGGTGAAATAGCCAATAGTGGCAATAAAGTCAGATAAAACCAATATGTAAAATGCTACATATAATAACCTGCTAATTAATAGCTGTATTATTTATTTTATTATCTATTATTAAGACAACACATTTAGACAAGATGATATTGATTTTTTTTACCAGTGTTACAGTATTTTTTACAGTATACATACATACAGCACACACAGTATTCCAGTCAGAATACAGATAATACCTGACATTAAACAGCACGCAGAAACAGACAAAAGCATCTGTGTCACTCAATAAAGCAGCTGTTTAGTGGGAACACCGCAACAATATAATGAGTCTGTATTTTCCTGCTGTCTACCCTGCTTTATTAAAGCACCTCATTAGACCAGAGCGTTTGTCTTGGCAGAAGTGCTCTTGTCAACGAAAGAGAGAGTGAGAAAAACACTAGTTTTAATGAATTTAGCTGATCAGACAATTACTTCCAGTTAATTACACAACATATCGTTCTTGAGTAACTGAGTTTTTGCAGGAGAAACATTTCAAAGGTCAGAGGGGGATGCTATGGCACTAGCATAAACATCTGTAATTACTGTATATAATGAAATATTTAAAAGAATAGCTATGCCATCTAGGAGCTAACTGGACAATGATAATCAGCAAGATCTTCACTCCTTGGTCTCAGAAGATATTTTTGTTTAATTATTTAATAACTAGAATATGTTTGCTCCTGCCAGGGATGAACTAAAGACAGGACATTAAAGTCTCTTCTCCATTTACAGTCTTATAAATGTCTGTCCTTAACCTTTAGACCCCATAGTCTGCAATGCCTATAACATTCACATATTGTGGGCATAATGGGAGTTTAAGGAGATGGCAGTGCCAGGAAAGGTCAGTTACAAGATATAAGATAGTTCTGTCACATGCATGTACAATTACCGCTAACCTGCCCTCTGGATTTAAACAATATTCTCAACAACATGCAGTTTGACTAAACATTAGAAGTCCTGTGTAGATAGATATCCTGTGGCAGTCTAACTTTTGTGTTATTGATGAACGCAGGTGACATCATGACAATATACCCAGTTGTAGTTAAAACTATTAGGGATGGGAATCAGCAACATGTCAATACGATATTAGCTTTATTAGATATATTTTGATCTTTTTTTTTTTAATTCTGAGTTTGGATTTTGTCAAAGAAAGAAGGCAGGCGGTGAGTCTCTCACTATTTTAATTACCAAAAACAATTAAAGAACAGAGGTCC